ACATTCTTGAGTTGTGGAGTGAGCTGTAGCATTTGCTGAAATATAGTGGCCAGTCCTTGTTCAAGAAGTTCTACCGCAGCTGGAAGATTAGACTGTTGGATACAAGCATGTACAGCTTTGGAAGTAGCCTGTGCTATATCAAGCCTATGAATAACCTCTTGACGAGCAGGGATAGAATTTCCAATCCAGAGGATCTCCGGAAGGAGTCTGAAAGCCACCATGTACGCAGGTATACAATACACAGGGTCAAATTTCTGTGAAAATGATGCCCATTGAAGAGCATTGCACCATGAAATTTCAGGTGTTAAGGAGGGTTGTATGAATGAGTCAGAATAGTGCATGTGGATAGTTGGGAGGTCTTGCGGATCTCTAAATTTTCGGAACCTTGAGGTAAGTACTATGGCAAGACTTTGCAGTCTATCTGCTCGATCAGGGTGCTCGAAGGGGGTAAGAGCAACAGCCTCCTGGTGTACCTGCACTGCAGCTTCCAGGTCTTTCAAGTCACCCAGCCTTTTGTACCTATCCCTTAAAGCCACACCAAGCTTTTGCAGGATGCCACCTCGATTAGGGTAGTCAGGTGGTGTAAGTGCAACAGCCTCCTTGCCTGCTTGCACTGCGGCTTCGAGATCTTCCAAGTCACCCAGCTTTCGGTACCTCTGAATTAGTGACACACCAAGATTTTGCATTATTTCCGCACGATCTGGGTGGTCAGGTGGAGTGAGGGCAACAAGTTCTCGAGTTGTATGCACTGCAGCTTCGAGGTCTTTCAATTGACCCCGCCTATGGTATCGTCCCATGAGTGATGCAACAAGACCATGTAACATGAGACCACGATTTGGGTGGGTCTGTGGGGTGATATCAACGGCTTCCTGCACTGCTTTCAATGCAGCTTCGAGATCATTCAAGTCACCAAGTTTTGTTGACCGGTGGTAGAATGACATACTCAGACTTTGCAGTCTGTGTGCTCGATCTCGATGGTCATGTGGTGTAAGGTCAACTGCTTGCTGCATTGCAAGCAATGCAGCCTCAAGGTCCTTCAAGTCACCAAGCCTGGAGTAACGATGCATAAATGATACACCAAGATTCTTTAATACTTCACCCCGATCTGGGTCATCTGGTGAAGTCAGAGCAACAGCCTGCTGAATTTTTTCCAATGCAGTTTCAAGGTCTTCCAAGCTACCCTCCCTCTGGTATCGGCCCATAAGTGATGTACCGAGACTGTGTAGCATGACAGCATGATCGGAATGATTGTCTTGAGTGAGTGCCACAGCCTCCTGGTCTGCCTCCAAGGCAGCTTCAAGATCACTCGAGCCACCAATTATTCTTGATCGGTGGCGCAATGATGCACTCATAGTCTGTAGCCTGCCTGCCCTTTCCGGATGGTTGTGTGGGATAAGGTCAACTGCTTCCTGCATTGCTGGCAATGCAGCCTCAAGATCCTTCACATTACCTAGCCTCTCATACTTCTCGTTGAATGAGACACCAAGATTCCACAGTCTGTCTGCATAATCTGGGTGGTTCTGTGGGGTGAGATCAACAGCCTCTTTGTCAGCCTGCAATGCAGCCTCGAGACCCTCCAAGTCACGTAGTTTAGTGTATCGTTGGCGAAACAACTTGCTCAGATCTTGCAGTCTGCCTGCTCGAGCTGGATGGTTGCGCGGGATCAGAGCAAGAGCTTCCTGCATTGCTTGCAATGCAGCCTCGAGATCCTTCAAGTTGCCTTGCCTCTGGTACCAATGGCCCAGTACTAAACCAAGTGTTTGCAATCTGTTTGCGTAATATTGGTGGTCCTTTGGTGTGAGAGCAACAACCTGCTGCATTGTTTGCATTGCCATTTCAAGGTCTTTCAAGTCCTCTTGCTGCTGGTATTGGTGTATGAATGACAGACCAAGACGGTACAGTGTGTGTGCTTCATCAGCTGGCTGGCTACCCAAGCTGCGTAGTCTTTTGTATAGGCCCTTGAATGACACTCCAAGACGTTGCAGCATATGTCCTTCGACTGGAGTATTAGTATTCGGTGGAGCAACATTTGTTTGTCCTGGGACTGGACCAGACACCAAATCTGAAGCGACAGTAGCTACCCAACGGAGTTAATACCGTGAATTCCTTTAATTCAGGCTACCTTACTGCGATTGTTATTCATCTCCCTCTTCGCGCCAGAGACATCCGAATTGAGAGCTCTGACAGCTGGCGAATCCTGGTTCAAGCCAGTCTATGAGTCCGAGTTGAAACAAGCTCAGAAGAAAGTTGAAACACTCACTGCTGTTGTTTCCATTGTCTGCGACGCAGAGAGGGAAACGGGGCAGGGGGAGGCAGTCAGACGCTATCGATGGCTTTATAAAGACTGTCAAGCGCCGGAGATCATAATCATTCAGGCATCACGTCGAATGGACGACAGTGATCTGAGTCACTTGAGTTTTTGGCGCCGGTGTTGCGCCGGTGTGAAGAGCCATTCGGGCTCCAGGACGGGTGTAGATTTTATGGGCCACGGCAGCCGAGCGACGAGGGACTATTCAAAGAAAAACACCCAAACAGCACCTGGCCAAGAGCAATGTTTTCTTCTTGAGTGCAAACAAACGGGTCAATACGGAACGTTCTCACCGGTCCGAAAAGTTCAGAGGGCCACAGAACCATATTCTGGGACTCAGAAAAATGCATTCACCGTTCAAACAACCCGTAAACACCCCCGTGAAAGTTGCGTGAAAGCGTTGATTGTGTGGGCTGTCAACTGGCTGTGTGCGTATTAAACGACGCAGCAACTGGTGGATGAATCAAACTCACTGCTGATTCTCGGGGACGAGGGTAGCCTACGGGTGTAAAAAAGATTTTGAACTTTACTCGGAATCGGACGCGGGGATTCGAACCCCAGGCTGCTGGACGCATCCACTCCAGGATCAAAGGCGCCCGCGGTGCGCCGTACACCACATCCGATTACCAGCTTTGAGAATTCCCGCGGCGAATGCTTGCGCTGTCGGTAGATTAAACGAAGCAGCTGCCCGTGCGTGAGGAATAGACTCAGCTTTAACTCCTGTCTTTACGACGGAGGAAAAAGGTTTTCTCATGCCATCACTGAGCGGGACGTATGGAATCTACCCCCGGCCTGGAGGCATGTGCCATCGAAATTGCAAGCCCGCCCGCGGTGCGCCGTGCATCAAACAGCTGTCTTGACGATCTCTGCGTGAAGTTTGTGAAACTTGAAGACAATGTCATCCTTGAGTTGGGGTAAATATCACATGGAACAATTTACCAGCAAATTATTCAACGACGTTGAGGGCTCCCAATGCATGGAAAACACACTCACCCTTGATTTTTCGCAGGAGGAGGAGCGTTTAGGGGCGCAAAACAGGTAGATGATGGAGATTAACTCCGATGGCCAGATGCGTCGCAAGGGCGAATGCCTATTAAGCGTACACGACGTCCGAGTACTCTTGACAATCGCTGAAGTTTCGAGTACGAGGGCTGGCAGAAACTCCTGAAGGGTCGTTTCTGTTCAACGCGACGGAACTCGACCGCAGCGCATGCAGATTCTCCTCCAAAGATGCGTGCACGGTGCAGACGCAGCACAAGGAGATGCGTGGGCTGCAGCGCTTGGCACGCTGGGCCTGGATGCGCTGTTAGCATACCTGCGCACAAGACAGAGGCGGTGCATTTGTTGTAGCGTCAAAGAGACAGCGCCGGTGAGGCTGGGACCAGCTGCAGTATGGAGGGATGGAGACGTGCGCAGTGCGGGCGCGTACCGGAGTGTATGCGAGGCGTGAAGCACTGTAGGCCCCTTGTGGCATCCAAGAGCCTGTGATCCGGATTCCATACGACAAGTCGTGTCCAGGCAAAAGAGCTTGGCGGTCATCTAGTGGTCCAGGATGTCCATCACTCACGCCACAGAGTAGACTCGAAGATGGAGAGATTGAATCCGGATTCACCGCGCGCTGAGAGACGAAAGCCGGGGAGACGACGGAGCAAAAAGTCGTTGGTGGTGGTACGCAAAAGAGCTGCCGCTGCCTTTTTGGGACGACATCAACTTGCGTCATCGAGCGCACGTAAGCGCCCCTATCTCGCCGAAATGTGTTTCGCTGCTTACAGTAATCGCTACCTGAGGCCCCTCTGCGGCTCACGCGTTACTAGACTGGATACACTGCAGGCACCGCTGAAATTGGATGTAAATCTTGGTTTCGCCCAGTGTAAAAACATACCGATAAGTAACTTTTGAAGCAAAGAGTCAGCCACTCAACCGAGTACTAAAAGCAATAAATCTAGTTGCACGTCGATCATTAGGTTGCGCGATGCAATAAAAAATCAAAAGCAGCCTATGAAAAAGTGATGGGACTACAAAGCAGCACATTCGGACGCGGGGAATCGAACCCCGGACTGCGGGGTGCATTGTGGTTATACCGTACTCCAAAAGGCCTGCCCGCCGTGCACCGCGCACCACGTCCGATTTACTGCCTTGCGAATACCGGCGCGAAGTGTCTGAGCTTGAGAATCATTTTGTAGAGCAAATCCCTCACAGACCGACTATAAAAATGGACGCGTTCGTTGTTCTCTGTGACTACTCCATGTTATGTTGAGCATCCTGTCTGCAAGTCATTTATCAAACAAAACGACGGCCAGTGCATGAACAGCACATCAACGTCTAAGATGTTCCGGGAGGTGGAGCAGCGAGACCGTGGCCTGCGTGTCAAAAAGGAAGGAAAAAGAGGAGCGGATGAGTCCAATCGGACGAGGGGAGTCGAACCCCGGCCTGCAGGATATGTACTTTCTTCCTCGAAGTCCCAAACATGCCCGATGTGCGCCGTACACCACGCCCGATGTATCTAGCCATGCATTCCAGTTATGGAGATATAGAATTCTCGGACCGCGCGAGTGCAGCGGGATACAACATCGATATCCGAGTCCTGCGCAGGAAAAGTCAACACGAGGGCCTTTGAACCACAGATTTCACCACTGGGAAAGAATATCGCCGGAAGGAAATGCAGTAGGCAAAATGGAAGTGACCTCAATAATTCGGACGCGGGGAGTCGAACCCCGGTCTGCGAGTTGCATCTAACGAAGGATCGAAACTGGCAAGACACGCCCGCCGTGCGCCGTACACCACGTCCGACCGGCTGCCTTGATGATCGCTCCGGGAAGTGCCCGAGATTAAAGGCCATTTTGCGGAACAAATACCTTGCATGACCGAGTATTATAGAATGAACACGTTCGTTGTTGTCTCAAGCGAAGCTTCGAGCGATGGATTCCAGTCAAAGGGACACAATCAGTGCACTGCTAGCACTCACCTCTCAATTTCTGCCGGAGGTGCAGCGCGACCTACGAGGCATTCAAAGAGACAAAAAGGCTGGATACCGGATTAATCGGACGCGGGGAGTCGAACCCCGGCCTACTGGATGCATCTAACGGAGGAGCGAAACTAGCAAGACACGCCCGCCGTGCGCCGTACACCACATCCAATTATGTGCTTTGAAAATCACCCCCTGAGATGCGTGAAAAAACATCTCTTGCCGGTGCGATAAAATGCTAGCAGTACCAATTGAACTTCAATAGGCCGTCCGTGCTCTGGTGTCTGCTACGTAATTATTGATGAGCCAAGTACTTGAAGTGTTACACTCATCTGCAAATCCTCCCTGGAGTTCTCAACATATGGCAGGGATAACTGAGCAAAGCTTGGAAATCTGGGCACATCGCGATAGGAAAGAGGGAGATAGGGGCACTTACGTGTGCATGATGACAATTGTTGACAGCAGCCAATCGCCTTTTCGCAAGCCACCAACGACGAAACTTTCCTTCGTCGTCCTTCCTGGTCTAGTCCGCTCAGCGGCCCATATAGCCACCCTGGTTTACTGTGTAATGCCCCCGATGAAGACACGGCCGGTAGACGGATTGTTTGCTCTTGCCACCACGTCTGCGTCGATTCTGCGACTCTAGCCAAGCTGTGAACATTCTGAGGGCGACGCCCACAGTGGCTTGTGTATGGATACCCATAGCCTTTGTTGCTGGTTACCGCTGGGCTCAGAATCTGAGGCGGAACTGCGACTCGGAATCTGTAGTCGCCAATGTCATCGATCCACTCGCCACTACCACACTGTACACGCACACCGCACTTGCCTCCATGATCAGGCTCATCCGCGGCAGGACACGGCTCTCAAAGGGTATCAGAATGCAGGAAGGGCGTCGCTCGCCTCCTCCGCGCTTATTCATGCTCCGTGCGGGTGTATGCAGCACCGAGCCACGCCATCTGCGGGACGCCACAGGGACGACGAGCCGCCTCTTACCACTCGGGGTTAGGCGTCAGCGTCGGGATTCAAGAGAAGCACAACGGCATGTGCATCTCGCTCGCCGCCTCCTGTACCGAGGAGCAGCTGGAAGGGCAGTGATAGGGAGGACGTAGTCGCCCCGCTACGTCCCCCTGCGGCGCGGCTCACGGCGTAGAACAACTGCGATGTGGACTGGAAATAACAGAGAGAACGGGGGTCGTACGCATCCTCATTCTCCGTCCTCTTCTTGGGCAGGGGGAGGATGGGGTATTGCGATTGTGATGCGCTCGAAACGTGCAGGTATTGGGCAGATGACTCGGAGGCGTAGTATGGAAACGGTAAGGGAAGGCTCCCCCGGCGCTGTAGGTCCCCACAAGCAGGATTATCGAATCGAGGTGCGTCCGTCTCCTTCCTTCCTTCCTTATTCTTTCCGCTGACGAACCCATCCATTATCACAGGTCCCTTGCCTCTCGTACGGTCCTTGTCGGGTATTGACCGGTGACCACCAGCCCGTCTCGCGCGCATTTCGGTCGCTGTCGTCCCGGACGCTACTCTTCTTGAGCCTCGTCTCTACCTCACGCGCTCTCCCCGTGCGTCCACCGTCGTGCCACGTCCACTCTCCGCGCACCCGGGGGACGCCGGACGCATCTATCCCAGCTCGAATTCCGGTTTGCGCGCCCGCACATCCACTTTGCGTGCCAGCGCGTGCGCGTCTGCCACGCCCCAAAAGATTAACCGGCGAATGCGGCTCTATCCCCCTTCGCTTCGGGCGGTGGATCCGCACGAAGCGCGGGTACAGGGCCAAACGACTCAGATGCAGCACGAAGCTGCCCGAGCGCTGTACGTCCCCACAAGCTGAATCATTGAATCGAGGTTCGTCCGTCTCCCCCCTTGCTTATTCTTTCCTGCTGACGAACCCCGCCTCGTGCAGATCCGCCACTGGCGCTGGTACGGCCCTTGTCGGGTATCGATCGGCCACCCGCTCGTCTCGCCACCGTCGTCGCGTACATACCGCATCGGAATTTGGCGGCTACCTCTTTGTCCTTCGTCCTCCGGCACGCCCACGCCCACACACATGACAAGCGCCTCGTCCCAATCCTTCACTTTTCGCGCACGTCTTGGGCGATCCCTTCGTCGGCTCGTCTTCGCGCCCCGCGTCCGTTCTTCAACCCCATACGCTCGCTGGCGTCTGCAAGCCCACCGTCCGCGCGCGCATGACCCGGATTTCGGTTCCGATGGTTAGCGGTACTTGCTGAGCTGCACATCTACCACCGTGTCCGCCACACCCCAACTTCCAAAGCTCCGCGTCCGCAAATGTACACGTGCAGGCTTCCTCGATCGATACGCGCTGGCGACTCCTTTTTGGCTGTGTGTCCGACTCCATCGTCAAGCAGACTTGAAGCAGGCAGACAGTGGTGTCTCGGCGTTCGCCCGCGAATAATCACGGAGTATGCTCATTCGCTTCGCCTTGTGCGCGCGCGCAGAGATGGAAGGACGGTGTCGAAGAGGGAGGATATTGATGCCCGCATCCTTGTTGACATCGTCGGTCTCGTTTGCGGAGGGAGGGAACGCGGATGGGGATGGGGGTTGGGGATGCGGCGTATGGGTACTGGGGCGGGCGCAGATGATGATGACTCTGAGGCTGCGGATGGACAAAGAAAGGGAAAGGGGAGAGGGTGGCATGCCCGCCCACCAGCAGGGATTATCGAACGGAGGTACATTTGTCTCCCTTCTTCTTTGCGTGCTCCTGCCGGCTCACGAATTGCGATTCTTGCTTGCAGACTCGGCGTACTTGGCTCGTCCGTGCTTCACGCGCCCCAGCACATTCGCATCGCTCTACGAACGGCTATATCGTCCTGCATACCTCAGCGCGCATCACTCTCGACAAGCTCCTGCTTCACGCGTATCCCATCTCTTGCGTCCCCTTCGTCAGGCCCGGACCTCGCGCATGGCACGCCCGCCGTCCGCGCACTCGCGGCCCGTCGTCTCGCTCCGGATTCAGATTCAGATATGCTTATGCACCACACGGAGAGCCTCATCTGCGTACCTCGCCGTGCGCTCGCATCAGCCACTCGCCTCGACCGCACGCCCTCGAGTGCCGCGCCCACCACGAGCGCGTCGTTCCAGTCCATCCTTTCGCGCGCGGTGTCAGGCTCCCCTTGGTCTGGACACCTCGCACATTGCCCGCTCCGCGTGCATTGGGCGCTCTCATCTGCTGCGCCTTCCCTCTGCCCATCCGGACGCTGCCTGCGTCCCAGCCCGGATTCAGATGCATATGCATCGCACGGCCCCCCCTGCAGCGTGCACACCCTGCCGTCGCTCCAGCCTGCGGCGATTGAACGTTATGGGGCGGAATTCGTCATCGGAAGTGCGAGTAGGAGAGGCAGAGGAGAGGAGAGGGTGATGGATGCGCGACGAGCGACGAACGACGACACCCCCGCCGGTTTGTCGGGGCCAGCGTATACGTTCTGGAGGCGGGTGTCATTCTGGCGCCGGGGGCTGGGGAGGAGCTTGGGTGTAAGGTGGAGGAGGGGCGGCGGGAAAGCATCGGCGGCGCGGTGCGTCAGTATACGTTGCGCACCTCCGGCGGCTGTCGTGCATTGCGTACCGTCCGCCCCATTGCCGCTCACCCATGCGTGCGCCTTCGCCGTTGTCTCGGTCTTCCGGTCTGTGCTCATGCCCCACCGCCCGCGCCGCCTTTACAATGTTCCCACCCACCGCTCCTCGTCACATCGCGGTCCGGTTTGGCGCACCACACTCTCGACCGCACATTCGCCTTTGCCTGGAGATCCCATCCGCTCGGACACGCGCCGATCGCACTCCCGTTTGGACATCGCACTCCCGTTTGGACACGCCCTCTTCGTCTTCGACTTCTTGCGCGCGCGGACCTCGCGGTCGTTGTAGGGCAAGAGGGGGAAAGTGGAAGAGCGGCGCTGCGGAACGGGCGGATGGGGAGGACCGGAGTGTGTGTGTGTGAGGAAGGGCGGGCGCGGGTCCCCTGTCGAGGAGTGCGGATAAACTACAAGGAGACACGGGATGGGCGCGTCGAGAAGGCCAGGAGCGCAGCGGACGCCCCTGCTCATATGCTCATCCAATCGGTCCGCGCCGAAGCGGGATCGCTTCGGTGCGGTGGGAGGAAGATGCGGGTGCTGGTCGAAGAGGAGTGTAATCAATGTGGGGCGGATGACAGAGCGAACGACGGAACGGTGCCATGTGTAGCCGACGGCGTTGCAAGTGTCATTCTTCAGCGGCGCGGACGGCGTGCTGAGAACGTGCTCAGACAGCGGGAATGGCGTGAAGATGGGCCGACGGTGCAGCACGCGCGGACTGTGGGAATGGGAGTGGGTGGGAAGCATTCCGAGAAATCCACGCGCTGCCGGGGGCGGGGGATACATGCTCGGAAGATTCGATTTGGATTCATATTTGCGATCCTTTCTCCCTCATCTTTTCGCCGCGGCCGTTGAGCTTGTCGCGCTTCGTTGCAGCCCCAGCACACGCATCACCTTCCTCCCCACCTGCGCCTCAAACCGGCGTTTGATGGCTACCTCACATCGTTCTCCCTCCACCCCTCGGTGGGCGCGGGCAGACAAGTGCCTCCGCACCTCAGAGAATTTTCTTCTACTTCATACAAGCTTCATATCTCCATTGTCTCAGCCCTCCCTTACCCGACGAGCTCGGGCTCTGCCCCTCTTTCTCCGCCGTCCCTCTTTCTCTGTATGTTACTATCTCCCCACGTCGTTCCTTGTCCATTATCCTCAACAAGTCTCTTGGACACTTTCTTCCATACTCCTCTGCGTTCGCACTGTACCGCTGGGTGATCAGTGCCGGTCCATATCTCAGCCTATATTAT